TAGGAATGCGCATCTTGCTAGGAAACCAGCGCCAGGGTGGAAGGCCACTACCACTTTAAGTGCTGGAGGCCTGGTCATTTCCGATCCGCTTTCCCTGCTGCGCACTGAAGCTGACTGGTTCAGCGGCCTGTGGAAAGCTACGTCCAAACCCCTCATGGACCGCGGGTTCGAAGGAGTTCAAGAAGCCCTCCCGCGTCTGGAGCCAGCCTTCATAAGAGGAGTTTCGTCCAGGTGCCCTGTCCGCTCTGCCCAAAGTGTGGGCGGATTTCACATGAAACATTAAAGTTGGTTTTCCGACAACGCCCTTGTGGTGGTGTCCCTTCTGTTTTCCCTGGTCGAAATCCTGCCCGCGATCCAGGTGGCCCTCTTAATGGAGCCCGCGGGAGGTTGGCGTCCCATCGGGTTGTTGGTTTCCCTTTTTGGGCTTTGGGGTCGTTGTAGAAGGGCGCGTGCCCAACAATGGGAACTTGCCCACATGAGACCGCATTTCGCTGGATCGAAATTTGCCGCAGCCTGCGACGCCGCATGGCGACGGGCCTTTCGATCTGAAGTAGGAACATCCAAAGGTGAAGAATCAGCGACGCCCCTGTGGGACATGACGAAGTTCTATGAGACATCCCAGCTAGATAGGCTACTGTACCAGTGCAAGGAGTGTGGTTTGCCCATGGCGATCGCCCAGTTGTGTGTCAACACATACCGCAATGCCTGATACCTCTGTATTTCTTCTATGGTATCTGGGCCCCATTATGCTTTGCTCGGGGCCATCGCAGGATGTAGCTTTGCGGCCACCTCCGTCAGGATCTACATGCTAGGCCCTTACGATAATCTGACATCCAGACCCCCTCCCTCTGTGAATATAGATCAGTATATCGACGACACGGGGCTGAACTGCGTAGGCAAGGCGAAAGAGGTGGCTAGGAATATCAAAGAGTCTTCTGCTGCCCTGTACCAGATGTTCGTCACCGAGTTAGGCTGTTCCGTTTCAAGAGACAAAGCCAATTTTGTATGCTCCAGCAAGCAGGTGGCGCAAGAACTCAGGGGGTTTCTCGGAGAGCTTGCAGGGCCTGTTGTCGAGAGCGCGACGAACCTGGGGATCGACGACACGGTAGGGGGACCTCGCAGGGCCCACAACAGAGCCTCAAAGTTCAAGATTAGAATGCACCAGTTCAGGAAGCAAACCAGGAAATTCAGGGGTATGAAACAAACCCTGGGCATGTACGCTAAGCGCATTTTTGTTACTGGTTCGCTACCGTGCATTGAGTACGGAGCTGCGGTGCATGGCATTTCTCACAGAGAAGCTCTTGTAATCAGGCAGTCAGCGGGCAAGGTGCTGCGCCCGCAAGCGGCTGGACGCTCGCTCACGTCGCTTATGATTTTGGAGGATGTCCCATCCTGGAGATGCGAAGTGGCCCCGATCCTCCGATACGCCAAGGAGATTTGGGCCGCTCATGCCCACTCTTGCCCGTGCTGTATACCCCTTCAGGAGCCGAGGACAGCGTGGGAGATTGGTTACCAGGGGGAGGAGGTGACCGAGTGGAAGAAGGTCAAGGGCCCACTGCCCGCTCTGAAATTATCGCTGAGGAGAATTTCTTGGGACATGAAAGATTTCGCCACGTTGAGGAACGATTTTGAGGAGGAGGTGGTTCTTACCTATATACCCCCAGCGCTCCTCAAGGGCTTGCTGTTTAGTGCGGCGCTTAGGTCTCTAGAGCGCGATGCGAGCAGCAAGGCGAATATGGACTTTCCCCGATTATGTTTCGACGTGGCGCGAGCGAAGCTCCGATCCAAGCGATCGACCCCGCTCGGCCGTGGATGTGTGAAATCGTTGGTCTGTGGTGCGATCTGGACTCCGAGTCGCGCGATAGAGTGCGGGTATCAAGTTCCGTCCACTAAGTGTTTGCCGTGCCAGGTTTGTGACGACTCGGAGTTCCATCGCCTGTGGGAATGTAACAGCTGTCAGGACCAACGGTTGGATATCGTTGACCTGATTGACATTGATCGAGCTCTTGCAGCAGAGGGGCCTATCGAACAGCTTCTGTACAGCCGAGGACTGTTCGAGCACCCAGGCGACAAGCGCCCTCGCCCAGCAAAGCTTGGAACACATGACATGAAGTGGGCTGATGAAAACAGGGAGGACGCTGATTTCCAAGGAAGTGTTTTCATTGATGGGAGCTGTAGCAGACATATTGTTCCGGAGCTTCAACGAGCGGGGTGGGGAGTTGTGCAGTTGTCGGCGGAAGGCGAGGTCGAAGGCAGGCTGTTCGGACCCGTCCCCACCCCTCTTTTGGCCTCCCCCCAAGCTGGAGAAGTTCAGAGTTTAGCTATGGCATCCCTTCACAATTGGTCGGCCCTAGCGTTATATACTCCGATTGTCTTAATGTGGTTAAGCAGAGCCAGCAGCCTCAGGAACAGCAGCTTCGCTACTTTAGGCCCTATGCGGGAATGATGCAGTTTTACCACCAAGGGTGCAAGTGGGTGAGTGGTGTCAGGAAAACCAAAGCCCACTTGGACCCACATGGAGCTGGCTTAGGTTTCGATGAGCGGTGGCGGCGACTCGGTAACTCCGCTGCCGACGCCGCCGCTCGCGCTGGAGCTAACATGCACCCGTCCTGGTCGGACAATGATGAGACGGAGCTCCAGCGGCAAATTAAGGTGTCAAAACAAGTTTGCGATCTAGCGGCCACTCTGTTGCCGCTCTGGCCTAAGCTTGACTTCTCTGAGGTCGAGCTGTTCCGCCCCCCTCGTCGTGACCCTCCTGAGGTTCCTCCCCCTCCTCTTGGTCACGAGTGGCAGAGATTGCGCGGATTTTTCTTTGTCTTAATTGTAATAGGGTCCGCAGAGGGACGGCAGTGCCACCACCTGGAGCATGCTCCCAGGTGCATGGCCTCACCCCCACATCCCTGCGAAACCTCAATCATAGTTGCGTTTCTCTTGAGTGCAGTGACGAGGCACTCCGCACTGTATGTCTTAAGTGAAAATGCTATTCGAACCACGGACAGATTCGAGGGCTGTCCAAGAACTGCGACAGACCCACCCGTCACACCCTGGACAATTGGAAGCTTCTGGCGAAAGGGGAAGCACCCTAAGCGTCCAGGGGTTACAGTCGAGACGGGTCCCTGGTCTCTCCTTTAACTCATCCTCGTAGCCGTCTTTGTTAAACAAATCCTCCTCCTCCTCCTCCTCCTCCTCCTCCTCCTCCGCCTCCTCCTCCTCCTCCTCCTCCTCCTCCTCCTCCTCCGCCTCCTCCTCCTCCTCCTCCTCCTCCTCCTCCTCCTCCTCTGCCTCCTCCTCCTCCTCCTCCTCCTCCTCCTCCTCCTCCTCCTCCCCTCCCCCTCCCCTCCTCCTCCTCCTCCTCCTCCTCCTCCTCCTCCTCCGCCTTCTCCTCCTCCTCCTCCTCCTCCTCCTCCTCCTCCTCCTGCTCCTCCCGCTCCTCCTCGTCATCCTCCTCCTCCGCCTCGCTGGGCGCCGCCTCGTCGGTGTCGCTGCTGCTCAAGCAGCAGTCATCGTCGTCGTCGGCGTCGTCGTGTTCGTCGCTGCCTCGAGCAGTGGCGGGGCGTCCTCGCTTGCCCACCAGGCCCACCAAGGCTAGGTCTAAGAGCCTTTTTGTGGTTTGCACGAAGCGTTAGAACATGTCTTGCTGAGAACGTACTTGTTTACTTCATCGGCAGTATGTTCTAAGAGCTGTTCGGTGTAGTTGTTCACTTCGTCGGTCTTAGTTGTTTGCTCATTCTTCTGTTCTAAGAGAATTTCGTGGTAGGCTTCTGGGACTGCCGGGACGGTCGGTCCCTGCTCAATTGTTGTCGCCCCCGGGAAGGCCGACGAGGCCGAATTGGTCGCTTGCGGGCATCAGGTGGAAGCATTTGTCGAAGACAAACTCCCGCGGGATCTGTAAATGTATGGAGGCTGGATGGGGTACAGTCGGGCCGCTGAAGAAGGAACCCTTTTCGTTGGGGAGGAACTCAGTGTTCCTCAATCGTTTTGGCGTTTGTCTTAGGTGTTCCTTAGGTTTTAGAGGTTGTCTTAGGTGTTCCTTAGGTCTGCTCTGGGCAGTCGAAGTTACACTTATGGAAGAGAAGGGCCTCATTCCTTAGGCTCAGTGCTCCTTACGTCGAGAAGGAGGAGGAGGAGGAGGAGGAGGAGGAGGAGGACGAGGAGGACGAGGAGGACGAGGAGGACGAGGAGGACGAGGAGGAGGAGGAGGAGGAGGAGGAGGAGATTGGAGGATATGGTGGCAGCTCTTTGTCCCCTCGGGTGAGGGAGCAAGCGAGTCTGCAACGGTGCAGGCCTGGGGCGCCCAGCCAGGGAGAGGCGGCGGTCGGGGCTCCGCGACCCCCCCGGGGGGCCAGGGAGGAGAGGCAGCGCAGGGCTCGTTTCGATTCCGCCGATTCGATTCGATTTCGATTGCGTCCGATGTCGATTCGATTCGACTTGGGATTCCGATTTGGGCTCCGATTTCTTGTTTGGGGCGTACAACCCTGCCGATGTCCGCCGATTCGACTTCTCCCGACTCGGCTGCCGATTTCCGCCGATCCGATTCATGTCGATCGCCGATCCGACTTATCGATTCGATTCTGGGCTCTCCTGCGGGGCTCGGCGACTCCCCCAGGGGCCAGTGAGTCAGGAGAGGCAGCGAGGAGCGAAGGACAAGCTGCCGCGGAGGCCATCGCATTGGACGGTGCTGTGGCCTACTTGGCATCGCTCGGACGTGTGCGTTTTTTTCGGAAAGGGACCATCGAGGAGCAATTTCGTTCACCCAGCGCGAAAAAGTGCACGCACGAAACCACCGAGACATGCACATGGAATGGACATCCGAGCGATGGCGAGCCTCCGTGTCTCGCATAGCTTCTGGCAGAGCTGGCCAGGAGAAGTGAGCCAGATCGAACGTGTGACGCAATGCCATATGAGCACGTCGGCCTGCCACTGTGTGGCCTGAGGCGCCCAGCAGAACAGTACAGAACGGAGACACGACCGCGACGCCAGAAGAGGGGCTGCACGCCGAGGTCTGCCGGCAAGCTGGCGGCCAGCGCGGGCGAGGGGGCGGCGCGGGCGACGCCGAAGACGCCCAGCCCCACCCAAGACATCCCTTCTAGATCTCCCACGATTTGTTTTTGGTTCAATCCGTCGAAGAAGAGACTCTTGGCGCTCCTCGCGGATTTCTTGGATCCGCGCTTGGGCCCCCCCTGGCGTCGCCTCCAGCGCCGCCCCTGGCGCGCTCCGCGCACCAGGGAGGGGGGTCCAGCGCAGATCCAAGAAATCCGCGCAGAGCGCCAAAAGTGTATGCTTATGGCGCTTCTTCTTAGTACAGCCAGGACGCTAGAAGGAGGAGGAGGAGGAGGAGGAGGAGGAGGAGGAGGAGGGAGAGGAGGGAGAGGAGGGAGAGGAGGGAGAAGAGGGAGGAGGAGGACGAGATGAGGAGGAGGAGGAGGAGAAGGAGAAGGAAGAGGACGAGGTCCGTAACCATTTTGGCTCAAGCGTTTCGCTCAAGGCCTTGACCAGGTGGTGTGGGGGATTTTGCGGCCCCCGTCTGCTTCCCTGGCTGAGTGCCAGGTACTTTTCAGCATTATGTTTCGTGTACGGAATATTCCTATCTGTACGTTTTCCCGATGGTTCCCACCCTTCTTCTCGCTTCTCGAATGCTCCGTGGGTGCGCTCAGGGACCAGTCAGGGCGAAGGAAGTGGTTGGACGCGCTCAAAGGGAAAGGGAGGAAGCCGCCAGCGACAGGATTTGCCTGTCCTACCTGCGGATGTCGACGCAACTCGCCCGAAGCTGGTTTGTGCAAGCATTGTGGCAACCTCCTGCCGCGCATGGTTGCTGGTGCTCCTCATGGTCCACTTGTTGGCAGTTCGTGGGCTATGTCGGCTCCCCCTGGAAGCTGGTCTGGTTTCAAGGGCCACAGTGGGAAAGGCGGTGTCGGCAAAGATGCACGAGGCAAAGGAGGCAAACACGGCTTCGGCAAGGGATATTCTGACGCGAGCTGGTATGGCTGGTCAGACATGTCCCCAAAGGCCATGCTCTCTTTGCACGTGCACGGTGATGGGTCAGCAGGTGGTGGATCCCCGCCTCTTCCAGTGGGCCCTGTCCCTTCAGTCACCGCTGCCGAAGCACGTCAGTTGACAGAGCTGTCCAACAAGGCGGGGGACAACTTGGCAGCACAGCGTTACGACCTCATGGCGAAGCACCTGGAGGCTGCGGACAAGCCGCCGCCCGAGCTGTCGGCACATGCTCAGATGCAGAAGGCGCACAAGGAAGTTCAGCAGCTTGAGAGTCGAGCTGAGAAAGACCTGCAGCGCCTCACGAAGGCCAAGGAGCATGTCGCCGAGCTGGAGCTGTCGCTACGTGAGACTCGTGACCGCCTCAAGCTGGCGGACGAGGAGTACAAGTCAGCGCTGGTTAAGCTTCAGGCCGCGAAGGTCGAGCCCCAGATGCAGCCTGCCACGATCATGCTGGGTGACCTGGTCTCGGGCAAGTTCAGCATGGAGTCCTTCATCAACTGTGACGACCTCCTCGGGGACTTTGCGGCAGGCGAGGTCGAGCTGGAGGAAGCGGACAGGAAGGAGTTCGAGTCTCGTCGGGCGGCATTGGTTTCGGGAGCACAGGAGTTGGCGCAGAAGTTGTTCCAGCAGGTGACGGACGATGGCAAGGAGGCTCGGGCTGCACATGAGGCTCACAAGCTGCGGCTGGCAGCAAAGAAGCGTCGTCTCGCCGAGGGTGGAGAAGCTCCTGCTGGAGGTGCGGCTGCTGGAGCTGCATCGAGCGCATCTGCTGGGCCCCCGTCTGAGCTTGTCGGCACTGGCAGCACGGCGGCCGCGCCTGCCTTTGAGCAAACGAAGGCAGAGCTTCGTGCCAGGTTCGATGGGGCCTTGGGCGACTGAGGCCCCCCCTCCCCCCCCCACCCCGCCCCTGGCGATCCTGCCCAGGGGGGCCCAACGTTGATCCCGAACGAGACCCAGGCTCGAAGTCTACCTGGGAACTCTATAACTTTTTAGCGTCGCGCGCTTCGGTTATCGGCTCCAGGGTCCAAGCCGCGGGCATCCGACTTTTTAGGCGCATTCAGGTTGCGTCTGGAGTTTTGCAGGGGAAACATTACTTTTCGGCCCCATTGTGCTTCCAGATGAAATTCGAATGCCCCCAGGGTCCCACGGTGTGGAATCGGTTGCTTGGTTGCCGCTGCCTGACGCGTCACGGCAGCATCCGTCAGCTGCCAACTTCATCATTCCGTCCAGCCAGCCCCTCAGCGAGCTGGAGCTGGACGCGCGGTTGCTACAATCCGAAGCGTTACCTTTTGCGTCGCCGTCGAGCTCGGTCGGGGCACGGCACTGCGGGTCTGCTTCTCGAGGTGGACCACCTGATGCTTCAGCCTCGGCCCCAGCAGGGGGCGCCTGTTTGCCGTGTATTCCTTTATCCGAAGGGCTGAAAGTCGCGACGGTCAACTCGAATTTCTGGGGCACGCTTAAGACCTACTTGGAATCCTCTGACTCGCACATCGTCCTCGCTCAGGAGCATCTGTTTCGGGGTCAGCTATCGCTTGACCAGGCGTCCAAGTCTTCGCTCTACCTCGGCTGGAAAAGCATATGGGCGCCTGGGGTGCCTGGAGAAGGTGGAGGAGTCAGTAGTGGAGTTGCAGTTCTCGCTCGAAGTGGTTTCGGCGTTTTTGTGAACGATCAGCACATCTTGGTCGACGGGCGTGCGGTCGCGGCCATGGTGCACGTTCCTGGCCATGTCCCGGTCTGCGCCTGCTCCCTCTATCTCTACCACAGCCAAGCGGAAGCGAACTTGGAGATCCTTCGTGTCGTTGGGGAATTTCTTGAGGGAGCTGGTTGTAAGTTCATTGTGGGGGCTGACTGGAACTTCTGCCCTGAGGACCTCGAGAGGTCTGGTTTCTGCAAGAAGCTTGGGGCGTCGGTGATTCGCACCAGTGGCCACACCCACTTCCCCAGTGCGGGCCCCCCTGACCGCTTTGATTATTTCGTCCTCTCGGAGGCCCTGGGGCTTTGATTGAAGGTCACCGATGACTCCTCCCTCGCTCCCCATCGCCCTGTCACGTTGCAGTTTCACAGTTCTCTTGGCGACCTCAAGGCTCTCGCCTTCCGCCGCCCCCCCGACCTTCCCGTGGAGGCTCCTGTGGGGCCTGCTCCGTGCCCTGGGGATTGGGAAGGCGCTCTGATGCTCGCTCAAGAAGCCTCTGAGGCTATGAACATTGGGGACTCTCGGAGGGCTCGCAGGCTGCTCAGTCCTGCTTATAAGGCGTGGGCGGACTCGGCTGAACGCGACTTGGTGAAAGTCCTCGGGGTTGAGGTCTCCACCTTCGGGGCTAGGGGAAAAAGGACCTCAACTCGATTGGAAGTCTGTTCTGAAGCCTGCGGGTCGAGTCAAGGACCTGCATGTGCGTAGTATCGTGTGGCTGCTCAACCAGCTACGAGCTGTTAGGTGCTATCTTGGAGACACCTTGCAGGCTGGAGGCCACCAGGTCGTGGATGCACTTGAGCATCCTCCTGCCTCGGCGACGGTTGCCGCAGACTCCGAGCGGCGCAAGTATTTCGCGTCTGCCGCCAGCTTAGCCCGCGCCATTCGAGCAGACAGCGGCGATCCCGTGGCCCATGCCGATCTCGATTGTTGAATCTCGGACACGGCAGATGCTGTTCAGTCTGCTAACGCGGCGTCAGCTAAGGCTTCGAGGAAGGACTGTCACGACTGGCTTCGGCAGGGGCTCGAAAAAGGGGGGGGGGGCGCTCAGAAGGCGATCAGAGAGCTTATCGCTCGGGTTCCGACCACCACCGTTTCTCGGCGCGGAGTTATTGTCGCGGATCCTGTGAGTCTCCTCAAGGCGGAGGCGGATAAGTTTAGTGACACCTGGCAGCAAGGCAGTGGACTTGCTGACTTCTGCGAAAGTGACGGCAACGGCATCTTGCCGCACTCGCCTCTCCTTGAGCCTTCTGAGATTCGTGCTGTTTCTAAGAAGTACAGGCCTGCCTCGGCTGTTAGTGTGGACGGGTTCCATTGCCGACACTTTGCCCTGCCCCCCGATGTGGCGTTCCATGCGATGGCTCTGTGGTCTGCGGTCATGGAAGGCACTGGGGCCCTCCCCCCCGGATTGACTGGGTCCTCCTGGCCCTCCTTAACAAGCCCACTGGAGGCTTCCGTCCGATTGGTGTTTTCCCGAGCTGAAGCTCTTAGGTGGGAGTTGTCCTACAAGAGGGACTACTGGGCTGCTGGGGCCTTCCGAGGAGCTGGAGACGTGGTCTGGAGACAGGCCTTTAGGGCCGAAGGTGGGGCTCTTCCGGGCCAGTGCACGGCCTCGGTTTTTCGGGGTTTAAGGAAGTACTACCAACATATTGATCTTGAGTTCTTATGGCAGACATGCATTCAACATAGGTTCCCCGCGTGCCTTGCTCGGCTGGCCATGCAGGCTTACTCTGCGGCTCGTTACATGGTTCTGGGGGGTATTGTTGAAGGCCCTTTCTTCTCTAGGAGGGGCATTGTGGCGGGGTGTTCCTTCGCCGCCAGTTTGATCAGAGCGTTTGCCATGGAGGCCTTCGATGGTACCCCGCGAGAACCAGGCCGGCGCTACTTCGATGCGCACATAGACGACCTCAGTCTGAATGCCACGGGCCCAGCCAAGGAGGTCATTGGAGATATTTGTCGCGGAGCTCGTGCTCTGCACGCGGCTGTCACTCGCACCCTGCAGTGCAAGCTGGCCATGGATAAGATAGGCATGGTTAGCAGAAGCAGCCTTGTAGCTCACAAGTTGGAGGAGTCCCTGGGCAGCTTGGTGAGCGCAGCTTGCACGAGGGTCACCAACATCGGCTCGGACGTCACTGCTGGTCAGCCTGTGCGAGCAGGGAAAGGCAGGTCTGCTAAACTGAGGGCCCGTGCTGCCGCTGCTTTGCGTAAAACCCGGCGTCTGCAAGGCCTTGGAGAGGCCCTTGGCCGAAAGGCCCTTTGGGTTTTTGCCGCGGGCCCCCTGGTTGGAGCCGTGCACGGCTCGGACCTCTATGGGGTCTCGGATTCCGACTGCTCAGCTTGCGTAGGATGGCCA